TTTCCCACGGGAATGAGACACCTCATCTCATTACCACCTCATTCCCGTGGGAGACACCTCATCTCATTTCCATCTCATTCCCGTGGGAAAATAGAATATTTCCCACGGGAACGGGAATGAGATGTTTTTCCGCGAAAAAAGTAACCTATGTCACTCCACAGCCACCGAACTATACCCATACAAAAAATCATGCCATGCCGACGATCTGTTGAGACGTGAAAGAAGGACAAACAAAAAAACAAACAAACACACTTTCGCATTTTTAATATTAAGTAAGTGTGGATTCGAGAGGTTTAAAAAGGTTCAATGATTAGGAAAAGCTAGTGTAGGTAAGTACCATATATAAAATAAAATATAATTTTTAATGAATTGATTGTTCCAATTCAAACAACAACAAAAACACAACCATTAATTTAAGCCTTTTAAAAGAGAAAATCAAAATGCTGCCAAAAATATTATGCCTATTTCAACAATGTCTATAGGTATAATTAGATTTTTACGAACTTTAAATTACATTAAAAATACCATACAACAATTACAACATAAAATACCAAACAACAATTACAACATAAAATACCATACAACCATTACAACATAATCATTGAGGTCATAATCAATTTCCTTTGGACGCCAATTTACAAATTTTATGCTTTTTAGTCACATATATGTTTATATGTTCACACTTATATGTTCTGACATAACTGGTTACCTCGCCTACGCAGATCCCAGAAGTGGACCTTCCCTGTTGGACCTTAAGCTGAAGCTGACCTCTCATCCGGACGGATATCACGTCTCCGTTGATGCCCCTCTTGGCTTCTCGAACCATTGTCTGATCCGGAGTACAGTGCTCACGCTCCAATCGCAGTTGCGTACTGCAGGTTGCCGCCGTGTTTGGCATAATAGGTCAGCCGATTGTGACGGGATGCGATCTTATTTGTATCCTACTCTTGGAGGCGGGTTTGCTTCTCGTCGGATGATCCCAGCGTTGTTGCTGATTCTGAGCCTTGGTTTGGTCGCCTGACTGGGCTCGCGCATCTACGTCTTGGGATGCAAATACTAGCGCTCTTAAAAAAACTATAATTCTGCTTCCAGGTCCTTCAAACGTGTCATTGTCAAGGCTAAGTCAGAGCACATCAGTAGTATTGACGAGAAACTAGTTCGTTTTCCTTCGGGAACAGGTGCATTCTAGTCTCTCGTCAAGTCTATCCAAGGGAACTTCCGCCAGCCATCTCTCCCATCTCAGCACATGGATGACAGGGATGATGACTCACTGGCATATACCGCAAAGTACAAAGTCGATCTACTGGGCTCTCTCTTTGCAACTGTGCAACTCGACTCTTGATGACGGGGGGAACACACCGCCGACCATTCCGCAGTGTGAGTGCTCCATGCAGGATGTGCTGTTTACTCAACGCTCGGTGCACAGAGCACTCCTGTCCAAGCCGAGTGGGCCTCCTAGTGCGCTGAAGATATGCGCTCCGGAGTTGGCACCCGTTTTAACGCGTCTTTTCCGGTACTTCTACTCCCTAGGAGTACTCCCGAAATCATGGGAAACAGCCTTCGTGCATCCGATCCCAAACAAAGGTAAACGCTCTGATCCATCCAACTGAAGGACTATCGACATCACCTCCTTGTTTATTATTTATTTATTTATTTATTTCACAATTTATGTACACACAAGTAAGGGAGAGGACACATCATGATAAAAAGTTTGTACAAAGGCTCGGCTTATCTCACAATGAAATTTCTTCCAGTAGGCCAGTTTCAAACACATATGATTAATAAATAATTGTTCTTTAAAATAATGGAATCCATTATTAACAGCCAGCTCATGCAGTACCTTGAGGATCACCAGCTGATTAATTACTGCCAGTACGGTTTCCGTCGCGATCGCTCGGCTGGTGATCTTCTTGGTTACCTAACTCATAAATCGGCGGAGGCAGTAGAGTCCAAGGGTGAGGCCTTGGCCGTACGTTTGGACATTGCGAAGGTCTTCAATCGGGTTGGGCACAAAGCGCTTATTACAAAGCTTCCTTCCTATGGGCTTCCCGAGAAATTGTGCAATAGGATCACCAGTTTTCTTGCTGATCGGAGCATCAAGGTCGTAGTAGGCGGTGCATGCTCCGATTACAAGCCCATTAAACGCTGATGTTCCCACAAGGCTGCGTGTTATCACCAACGCTGTTTCTTCTGCAAATCAATGAACCAGTACCAGAACAAGGTGATGCTTTATACACCGGCTGTGCCAATATTTCTCGGAAAAACGTCACCGAGTACCAAGACAAACTTGTGTCTGAAGTCGAGACTTTATAGAACGAAATATCGGACTGGGGGCGACTAAATCTAGTCCGGTTTAATCCCCCAGAAGACACAAGTTTGCGCGTTAACCGCTAAAAAGAACCCCTTTGTCGTATCTCCTCAATTTCAAGGCATTCACCTTGTTGTCTCAGTCAGTATCGGAATCCTCGGCGTCGACATATCGAGTGACGTGCAATTTCGTGGTCACTTGAAAGAGAAGGCCAAATTGGCCTCTAAAAGCTTGGCGTGCTCAGCAGAGCGGGACAGTATTTTATGCCGGCTCACCGCCTGCAACTTTACAAGGCACAGGTACAATTGCACTAGGAATAGTATTCCCATCTCTGGGCTGGGGCTCCCCGGTACCAGGTCCTTCCATTTGATCGCATCCAGCGCAGAGCAGTTCGAATTGTCGGCGACCGAGCTCTTTCCTATTGGCTTGACTCACTGACACTGTGAGGAGATGTTGCATCTCTTTGCGTATTTTATCAAATCTATCACGGGAGTGCTCTGAGCAGTTGTTTGGACTTATTCCAGACGCACAATTTCATCATCGCACATCGCGACAAAACTCGCGATACCATTGGATGACTGGCGGTCCACCACTGTGCGATTTAAAAGAAGTATTCTTCCTCGCAAAACTTCCATGTGAAATCAACTACCACCAGAGATTTTTCTGAACCGATACGACTTAGGGACCTTTAAGAAAAGAGTCTATTCCTTTTTAATAGGCCGGCAACGCATCTGCAATTCCTCTGGTGTTGCAGTTGTTCATGGGCGGCGGTAATCACTTACCATCACTTACCATAAGTTGAGCCATATGCTCGTTTGCCCCCTCTCCTATTAAAAAAATAAAATTTACTATACTTAGTATTTACGAGTATGTATATATGTTTGTTGTGTAGTAGTCTCATAGGATAGTCCACTACCCCATATCAACCTGTGGGTGTCGTAAGACGAGACAGATGGAATGTAACGGGACATACGGACAGTATTGTTTTGATCACAAATGAAGATAATAAAAGCTGCGGTTGACAACCAGCTTGGCAATAAATGGGGGAGGCCTATGTTCAGTAATTGACTTTTGCCAGCCTGTAAATGTCCTCTACACCTAACTTCGGTTTGTTTCGTATAAAGTATAAAGTTGTTATCTTCCTGATAACAACTTTATATAATAAGAAACAGCGGTTGCCAATCCACCAGCTAAGCGTGGCAACTAACTCTTAATTCTGAAGTGTATTTTAGATAGATTGTAATGAATGAATGAATCAATGATTGTATCGCTAACGTGTAGTGTTTTTTCAGTAGCTAGTATGTTTTTGTAGCGAATCTCTAATCCTTCGCGTTTCTTTTTGACATGCGATTTCCAGCAAAATCATATCATGTTAACGTAAATATGTGAAAATATGCGGAATTATAAATTTACAGCTTTGCACAAAACGTCTTCTTACATGTAAAAGTGTAGTAATACATTCTTAAACTTGAATTCACATTATAAACGACCTTCACTCTAGAAGTGAAAGCACGAAGTTAATACGGATCAGCGTTATAGAAGCCAAATATTAGGGCATTGTTACCAAAGTGGTTTTCAACTTGAGATCGATATCCGTTGAATAGAAGTCATCTCTTTATGAAGTTTATAAAAGATTCATGCTATTGTGAAATTCAGGCGTTCCTTTTAGTTTTAAGCGTTATTGCTTTTGCTGTAGTTCAAGTCATCGAACAGTCTTTATTGTTAGATTCACATTTGAAAAACAATTATAAACCTGAATAAAATCCTTTTATTTAAATATTGGCACATTGTACGATGACCTTAAACTGTTACTGCATTGAACAATTTTTGCGCATTGTATCCTGCTTTTTATACGTAACAATAAGGTTCAAGGCTTTTACGCGCACCTTGTGGTATATTTTGTATTATAGATTACAGATTATACCTTTAATAAATCGGTTCTGCAACTTTTGATATTCTCAATACGAGTGTGTGTATCGAATTGACCATAATCATGGATTTAGATAATAATGAATGAAATATTGGGAAGCCTTTTGTTTCTTTTTAACATTTATAAGCCTGTACATGATTGCTATTCCACGTATGGTAAGTGGTTATTTAGCCGAAGGTGGTAAAACGCAATTACTTAACTCAACAAAGATCTTTTGGCTTTTGCCTTGTTTGATTATTTACTTAAAAAGCGATACCATAAAGAGTTACCATCATGATATATATATATATATATATATATATATATATATATATATATATATATATATATATATATATTATTCTCTCTATCCGGAAATATAAAATATTTCCTTTATCATTATAGATAATATTTACATTACCTAAAGGTTTATTACAATTTTCTCTATAGGTAAAGAGTTGACAAAGAATTTAATGAAGGAAATCACCACATAAGGTAGGATGAATGTCAAACAAAAATGATATGAGTTCTTGAAATAGACCGGCACTCCATGAATGAAACTAGAAAACGTCGTTAAAGGCGTTTATGAATAATTAACCGTCACTGTTTTCAATTTGAATGTAATCGGGCACTAAGAACTGAAAATTACATGCGGAGATTAACGAAAAGTCCGACATATATCCAGCTGGTGAACACCGACACAATACGCAACTCCAGCAACATATGTCATTAGGCGATGAATTCGCTATTTAGGTTGGCTTCGATTGAAGAATCACCGCTTACCTTTGGTCCAGCGAGCCTCTTTCGCGAACGCTGGCGTTGTCAGCGCGTTCCCGCTGTTGTAGGATCGAGGTGGGAGTGTGCTCGAAGCGCCTAGCAGGGCTCCCTGGCCACGAAGGCCGCGTTGCTTGGGTAAGCGAGGCTCGGCCGCGCGGGTGCCTTCGAGTCGGTTTGCCGGCGGAGTGGCCCTGACAGTCGGCCGGCTGGGGTTGCGCGCGCCTGCACCATCACGCATGCGCCCCAGTCTGCCGCAAGCGATTAAACTAACCTACACCACTATACAGCATCGCTACGCTACTACACATCTGCATGAATATCAGGTGAGCTATGATTTTTACTGCTAGCCCTAATACCATACTGTACATGCACATTTGAAATTCTAATCGTTTAGCCTGCGAACGAGGCATTAGGTGTGTTATTTTGTACTTAATACGGGATTATAAAGGTGAGATTAGAAAAATGGTTTTAAAAATATTTATAGGTTTTATTAGGTATTTATTGGGAGTAGCCCAACGAATTAGTACACTGAATTGGCTATGGGACGGTCAAATAGCTCAAAGAAACGACAACACAGGAATAAAGGATCTCTAGTGTCAGCCTCGTATGTACCGGTAAGCTAAGTGTACGGCGGTCTAGATGGAGTGACGACCTAGTAAGAAATTTAGGAAGTCGAGGATGCAGGTGGTCAGTACCGTGCTATGGGATGTTTTTTTGAGGGAGGCTTATGTTCAGCAGTGAACTTGTGAAGAGCCGTAACAATAATGATGAAGGTTGTAAAGAGATTTGGGTTCCCTAAAAACTTTATTCGACCCTACCAACGTCACGATTATTACACACTTCAAATATATTAGCTACAAATGCACTGAAGTAGGTACTGTACTTGCCGTGTAGCAGTAGCATATCAGTGTAGCAGTGTAGCAGTGTAGCAGTGTAGCGGCGTAGTGGCGTAGCGACGAGTACACTACGCGGCATCATTACGTGGGTGTCGTAACAGACGACAGGGTAAAATTGAAACAGGAGGTGAGCAGCAACACCTTCCTGATTACATTTCAAAATAATAAAAACCAGGCATGGCAAACTGTGGCAAATATCTTCCTTAAGTGGCAATCAATGGGAAGGCCTAAGTTTAATAATGCCATTCATTCACTATTTTGAACGTAGGACTTCTCATTGAATTATGAATTGGAAATATGGAAATATGTTTTTAATGCTAATAATAATAATATTAAGTGATTTTACATAATATGTAATATGTTTAATTAAATTAAACCAAGTTAAGTAGTCTGTTTAAATGCGAGGTATTGTAATCAGCTGTTTAGTTATGGGTTAATTACATCGATCGCCGCCCCATCTCCACTTTCACTTCATGCTATGGCAGTCTGGTTCTTTATTTTGGCGAAGATCCAGCCCCCATCCGGTTTGTTACTAAGTCGATCTCAAGTGGATGTCTATGTTGTTAATAGCGATAGATTTACATTCGTAGTATAATATCATATAACTGGTACTAATCACTTAATTATGTAGTAGTTGTTGGTACTGTTACATGCCATTCTGCTTTTGTTTCACTAAAACAACAGTTGGGATGGTAACGTTTATGTTTGCTGTTTTTTATATGAAGATTATTAATCTTTGATAAAAAACTGACCCTAATCCAAATATTAAAAAAAGATATATTTTCCACATTATAGTTCATATTCTAGATCTAGTGTATCGAAGAATTACGAGTAAATTAATACGAGTACTTACGACTTCAGAAGCTATTATTTGGAATTTTAATTTTAATTTTTAAAGTAAATTCCACGTCTTATTAAAAGTTTAATTTTTTAGCCGTTCGAGTGGTCTAAGGAATAAAATAAGTTCAAAGAAGTAACTAGTTGTCTAAATTATTAAACAGCTTTTTCTTTAATATGAGACCACAACTGAAGTATGATGATAAAAAAAATAATCATCAGAATCGGCCATTTCCAAGAAATCGGTGAACATACATAGAAAAAACATGCTATGAATATATTATATATTCTTTGAACTTTAACTAATTCTAACTACTTAATTTTACCATCGCACATCGCGACAAAACTCGGGATACCATTCATACCATCTGGATGATTAGCGGTCGACCACTGTGTGATTTACAAGAAGTTTTCTTCCACGCACAACTTCTTTGTTTGACTACCATCAGCGATTTTTCCGGATTAATACGACTTAGGAACCATCAAGAATAGAGACTGCTCTTTTTTAAAAGGCCGGCAACGCACCTGCGATTTCCCTGGTGTTGCAGTCGTTCATGAGCTGACACTTACCATCAGATGAGCCGCATGCTCGTTTACTCCCTCTTCTATAAAAAGCACATAGGACAGCCTTCAAACAACTAGCTCTTCAACCCTTTTTAGAAGCTTCAGTTAGTAAAAATTATTGAAATAAAATACTTCTATTAAGACACGAATAACTATTTTTAAAAATTTTGTCTCTCTGTCTTTCTGTCCGAGCTAATCTCGTGATTTGCTGAAGCGATTCCGATGAAATTTACACACAGATAGAGAGCAATGCCAGGAGTGATCCAGACTATGTTTTATCAAAAAACATTCAGTTGTTTCTGTTAAATCGTAAAACCGATAAATAAGTGGTTCTTGATGAATATTTTATAAACTATAAGAGATACAAGAAAATGTTTCGAACAAAACTTTTTAAGAACTCAATTTTACACAAGAAAGGTCCATACATTTAATTCTCTATCTATTTTTCGATGCAAAATTAATTTTTTACCTTTCTTATTTCAATGCGCTGACCAAAGTAGGGTAGTAACGGTCTTTGAAATATAATATTCTAATTTAAAATAGATAATAATAGATAAGCGTAGATTGTCAAAATGAGAGTAAATTATTATTATTAATAATACCATTTTACAACAAAACTAAGATATGCGTTAAGCATAAAGAGTGATATGAACTTTTTTACATTAAATTAATAGGTCTTCAATTTTTATTCAAACATCAATAATACTTATCAAAAAACTGTTCAGTACTTTTTGGCAAATCAACTAATTGTACAAGGTCCACTGTAATAGTGTTTATCTTAAGTTTTTTTTTATTTATGTTCTTCGCGGAGGAAGTCACGGGTAAAAGATAATTTACAAATATATCTTTGTCTATATGAATGTTATTATATAAATATTAAAACAAATATATTTCGCATTATGTCAGTCAATCCCCACCTATTGTATAACCTCATGGGGAGGAGCAGCTAAAACTACACTGCTACCACTGGAACGCGCTCAAAGAGCTGTATTAAAAGTTGCAACATTCCGCCCTATTCTATTTCCGTCCCATCTCTTATATAAATCCTATAATGTCCTTTCAGTGCGCCTGTTATTCGTTACTAAAACAGCACTTAAAATTGCCCTACAGAAGAGAGGTCACTGATAAAAGACGCAAAGATAAAGTAATTGAAACTAACATTAGAATAAGGCATTCTTTCATGCATAGATTTTTTACATTCCTCGGCTCTTTTTTTGTATAATCAAGTCAATGCAATTTTGTACATATATCCATTAAAATGGCAGACTGTAAAAATGTATTTTTTGCGGACGGAGAAGTTGCTGATTGTTTTAAGTTAAGATTAATATCAGAAGTAAATTAATTATAATATATTTTACGCAAATAACTCTTATAATAATTATTATTATTATTATTATTTAAGGGTTTATAACGCGATTACTTCCTGGCGAGATCGGATGATCCATTCTATAATGACGTCATTTCTAGTGATAAAAGGGCTAACCCTCTATCCTTAGCCAACGAGCAATGGCAGGAGCCAGCAGTGCTTAGCATTTCCGACCGGGAGACTGTATGGAAGGAGAAGGAGCTCCACGGGAGGTACTACAGGGCTCTACATGAGCCCTTAGTAGATACAGTCGCCTCCCTCAACTGGCTACGTTTCGGTGACCTCTTCGGGGAAACCGAGGGTTTTGTCTGTGCAATACAGGATCAGGTTATTAAGACCAACAACTATGGGAGATACATCCTAAAGGATGGCACCATCGACATTTGTCGAGCTTGTCGCCATCCCGGTGAGTCACTTAGGCATGTCATCTCTGGTTGTTCGGCGCTTTCTAACTCTGAGTACTTGCACAGGCACAACCTAGTAGCCAGAATTCTTCACCAGGAGCTCGCTCTGAAATACGGTCTCGTGGATCGGAAATTGCCGTATTACAAGTACTTGCCGGAAGCCGTGCTCGAAAATGATCGCGCCAGGCTGTATTGGGACCGGGCCATCATCACAGACAGGACTATTCTTGCGAATAAGCCTGATATTGTGCTGATGGATCGGGCACAGTCAAGGATATTTTTGGTCGACATTACCATTCCGTATGACGAGAACCTCGTGAAAGCCGAAACAGATAAGCTATCAAAATATCTGGACCTGGCTCACGAGGTGACCGACATGTGGGGTGGTCTGCGACCGAAATTATTACTGTAGTCATGTCTGCAAACGGGTTAATCCCAGCCAGTATTCGTATTTTCAGTACATGTGCTGTAAAATCTTCTTTAATATAGTAGTTAGTACAGTCTAATCGCTTTTTTGTTTTTAAAATTTTTATTTTAATGCTTAATTTACTGAACGTAATCTTAATTGGTCTAGGTTTTTCTCTATGTCTATGTTAGTATAGTAAATATATATTTAAGTACATTTTTTCCTTTTATGTATTTATCCAGCCCAACCAGATGTGATTACTCTATCAATAACCCAAAATAATAATAATATAAAATAAATTTATGTATATTTATTTTTTCATTTTAACTTAAAATTATATATTTATAGAACCCAATCAGACGAGAAAATTATATAATAATAATAATAATAATAATAATAATTTATTTCATACAGACAATAAAGATCCATTACAAAATTAAAATTTAAAGATTACACCTGAAATATTAATTCTTATTATTGATTAATTAATCAAAATATTAAATATTTTTAATTAGGTATTAATAAAGTTGACCATCTATTAAAAAGTTCACTAAATGCACAAATATTACAAATAATTTTAATGAGATTATTCTGAGACCCAAAAAGGGAACTTCTAAATCGCGCGATACGGTGACGAATCAGTGCATCCAATCAGTGACACGGGCCTCTGCGAACATCTGGGACGCACTACAGTATCGTGGCTGACGAAACAACACGCGGAACGAATCATTATACTGCACCTTTAGCCTGCGGTATTCCTTTTTA